AAGGAGATGGCCTGGGGCTTGCTGTAAGTCAGGCTGCAGTTTGCATTGCATTAAAGAAAATCAAAAAAATTAATAAACTTTTAGAAGAAACTTTAAGTTTTCACCCATTCACATTTAGCTCTTGGGGTCTCATACTTCTGGACTTGCTTAGACCTATGCTATCTAATATGGTAGCCACTGCCCATCCATATGTGGCTACTGAATACTTGAAATGTGACTAGTTTGAATTAAGATGTGCTTAACTGTAAAATACACCCTGGATTTCAAAGACTTTATAAATAATGTAAACTATTCTTTCCTGTTGGTTACATGTTGAAATGATAATATTTTGGATATATTTGGGTTAAATAAAATATATTACTAAAAGTAGTTTCACCTGTGTCTTTACTTCTTAAATGTGACTATTAGAAAATGTGAAATTAAAGGCTGGGCGCGGTGGCTCACGCCTGTAATCCCAGCACTTTGGGAGGCCAAGGCAGGCGGATCACGAGGTCAGGAGTTCGAGACCATCCCTAACATGGTGGAACCCCATCTCTATTAAAAATAGAAAAAAAAATTAGGCGGGCGTAGTGGCGGGTGCCTGTAGTCGCAGCTACTCAGGAGGCTGAGGCAGGAGAATGGCGTGAACCTGGGAGGCGGAGCTTGCAGTGAGCCGAGATCGCTCCACTGCACTCCAGCCAGGGCGACACAGACTCTGTCTCAAAAAAAAAGAAAAAAGAAAATGTGAAATTATATTTCATGTTTATATATGGCTCATGTTTTATCTGTTGTACGGCGATGGGTTGAAGAATAGGCAGTATTCCCTGAAGCTTCGTGCTACAGGCAAGTGCTTTAAAGTGGTTAAGTATGAAAAAGATGATCAGTGCCAGCATTCAGTCTTCCATCAAGCCAGGAAGTTTTTCCCTCTTCCCCTCAGATGGTACAGGGGTGGTATTTTGACTACTGGAATATTTCTATTAATTCAACACTTTGGGAAACTAGGTGGATGTCTCTATCATTCACTCACTAGATCAAAGCATTTTTTTTTTTCTAATGGAAGTCTGTCACTCTTTAAAGGCAGTTATCCCTCCTATTTATCTCTCTAAAACCTGAGTCTTATTTTTAAGTCCTGCTCTTTCTGCTAGGGTTTTTGCCAAATTTCCAAAGCAATGGCATAACTAATGTGGCTATTCTTGCATGTAATCAGTAGAAACCTAAAGAAATGGGAACTATGTGGGTTAGAAGAAATAGCATTTATCAGGCAGGGCACAGTGGCTCATGCCTGTAATCCCAGCATTTTGGGAGGCCAAGGCGGGTGGATTACTTGAGGTCAGGAGTTTGAGACCAGCCTGGCCAACATGGTGAACCCCCATCTCTACTAAAAATACAAAAATTAGCCGAGTGTGGTGTCGCATGCCTGTAATCTCAGCTATTTGGGAGGCTGAGGCAGGAGAAATGCTTGAACCCAGGAGGCAGAGGTTGCAAGGTTGCAGTGAGCCAAGACCGTGCCTGCGCTCCAGCCTGGGCAAAAAAACAAATAAAAAACTATCAAATCCAGGGCTGACCACTATATTCTAATACTACATTACTAAATTACAGTTTGTCTTACTGCTCATGCAAAGCTTATGTGAAATGATTATTTGACTATGATGAATTATGAGTTTGGGTTCCTTTTGCTTTCCACAAAGTACCAGGCCTACTGCCTACTGTTGACCTCATAGACACCCAATATACACAAAACTATAGTGTATGGATGCCACACTAGTAAAGCTGGATATTTTTTTTTTATTATGGTAGAGACCGTAGAGATACACCATTTCATCATTTTATACTTTCCAAACAAGTCATTTTCCCATTACCCTTTAAATGCTTTATAGTATTTTATTTTGGGGGATATTAGAATTATTGAGTAATTTTTTGTAATTTTTTTCAAACTTGTAAAAACTGTCAAGTATAGTTATTTTTAAAATTTGGGGCAATATTTTTTTGGGGGGGAGTTGATAAACATGGCTGAATGTCTTTGTATGCCAAAAGAAAGCTAACTTCTATAAACATATGCTTCTCACATAACCACTCAGGCAAGTACTGAGTGCATCAAAGTCAGCCCATACCAAAAGGAACACAATATATATACATTTTTTTTTTTTTTTTTTTGAGATGGAGTCTCGCTCTTGTCCCCCAGGCTGCAGTGCAATGGCATGATTTTGGCTCACTGCAACCTCCACCTCCCAGGTTCAAGCAATTCTTCTGCCTCAGCCTCCTGAGTAGCTGGGATTATAGGTGCCTACCACCACGCCCAGCTAATTTTTCTATTTTTAGTAGAGACAGGGTTTCACCATGTTGGCCAGGCTGGTCTCGAATTTCTGACCTCAGGTGATCCACCAGCCTCAGCTTCCCAAAGTGCTGGGATTACAGGCGTGGGCCACCATGCCCAGCCAGAACACAATATTCTTAACAAATGAAAGGGAAATTAGTGGTACATCATCAACAGACTCTATTTTCAGCAACTTTTCTATTACAGGTGTGCCCTGCTTTAATAACATCCAATAACTGAGTTTGTTTAAATGCATCATAGAAAAATCTGAGCATTATGAATCAGATTTGATACACAAGCAACCTTTTAGCTTACTCCCCCACCAGCCCATCGCCCCCAGAAAACGGCCAAGGGGTCTAAATCTATATTTTGCTCCAGATCCAATGTTTTACTTTTGAAAAGGAAGATCCAGTGATTTAACTCACATAAGGCAATGGTCTGGGGCCTGCTAAAAGTCATGCTGTGGTTTCCATTGCATTTGAGACAACCAGACAAACAAATACAACTTTTAGAGGAAACTTCACGTTTTCTCTTATTCACATCTCAGTCAGGAGTGGGATCTTACACTTAGAATTGCTTAGACCTGTGCTGTCCTATATGACAGCCACTAGCCATATGTAGAGTATATTCACAATCCCGATCAATTTCCATCAGACCTCTATTCTTTCCAACTCTCTCCTCATCATGAGTGGGGTTAGGGTTATTGTTTTTGGTTACTGAATATATTATTTTTCTATGTAAAGCTAACAGACGTATATGGTGATCAAATCTGTAACCACAACCTCAGTAGTACTATTTTCTGTTATTGATTCAGATTTTATCTACAAGACTGGCTGCAAGTAAGTTCAGAGAGACAGCATATTATTTGAGACACCTAACATTTCATTAAAAAAAACTTCTGTATTGGCTGGGCGCAGCGGCTCATGCCTGTAATCCCAGCACTTTGGGAGGCTGAGGTGTGTGGATCACCTGAGATCAGGAGTTCGATACCAGCCTGATCAACATGGAGAAACCCCGTCTCTACTAAAAATACAAAATTAGCTGGGCGTGGTGGCACATGCCTGTAATCCCAGCTACTCATGAGGCTAAGGCAGGGGAATAGCTTGAACCCGGGAGGCAGAGGTTGCAGTGAGCCGAAATCGCGCCATTGCACTCCAACCTGGGCAACAAGAGCAAAACTCCGTCTCAAAAACCCAAACAAACAAACAAACAAAGCCGAAATCGCGCCATTGCACTCCAACCTGGGCAACAAGAGCAAAACTCCGTCTCAAAAACCCAAACAAACAAACAAACAAACCAAAAAACCACTCATGTATAAAGATACAATCAAGAGCATCAATTTAGTTTAAAAGGCAATGTTATCTTAGTACTCATTAGCAAAACAAATAATGTAATGCATTCTGACATGTTTATTATGATACTCTGATATACTAATGTAAGTGAAGATGATAAATGCAATAGAAAAATTGTAAATATACTGGTGTCGGGGGCAAGGTGACACATAAGCTGTGTCACACTCTGAGAGATACTGTTTATTACTATACTCACACGGAACATGATTTGATTGTAGTAACTGCATCTGAGACCACATATTAGGGGGCTTCATAAAGGGGTTTTGTTATTCTTCAAAACTAATAACACTTCATCTTAACCAAAACCCTTAATAAGAAAAATCAGAAATAAAGCAAAGTTTTACACACTACCCTGAGGATCAATAACTTCAAGCCGAAGGCCTTCTTAAGGAAATTTTCTTTCTGGTTTGCTAAAGCTGTGGGAGACCATTACCATCATGAGGCCTGTTACAGGAAATATTGATCTCTAAAATGTCATGCTCTAACACTCTATGGTGACTTACAGCATGTGCTGGCCGGATTATAGAACAAGTCAGCTCTAAGCATTTCACACATTTATCAGTACAGGAGCTATTGCATCTACCACTAGATTAAGTTTCTGAGTAGCCATTGAAATTTGGGAAAAGGTATGATAACGCAAAGTAGATAGGTTAGGACCTCCACACTGAAAACAGATATGGTACAGCCGTGAATATGGGAAAAATCCCTAAACTTGAACAAGCAAACAAAATCCAGAACAGGATGGGCACAGAGGCTTATGCCTGTAATCTCAGAACTTTGGGAGGCCAAGGTGGGTAGATCACCTGAGGTCAGGAGTTTGAGACCAGCCTGGCCAACATGGCGAAATCCCATCTCTACTAAAAATACAAAAAATTAGCCGGGCATGGTGGTGGGCACCTGTAATCCCAGCTACTTGGAAGGCTAAGGTAGGAGAACTGCTTGAAACCAGGAGGCAGAGGTTGCAATGAGCTGAGATTGTGCCATTGCACTCCAGTCTGGGCGACAGAGCAAGACTCTGTGTCAAAAAAACAAAACAAAAGAAAATACAGAACAGATTCAACTCAGGTAAGTGAAATTGCCAGATGGCCAAAACAAGTTCTTCAAATTTCCACAGAACTCACTGACCCAGCAGGAGCACATCTTTATCCAAATTGCAGCTGGGAGCTTGATTAACTGAGAAACAACACAATTAAATGACATGACATTCTTCATAGGCACCAATCCAATGTCAGTATCTGCATGCTGAAGTACAGACAGTTACACTGAAATTGCGTATGCTCTGAGGAATGACACTAAATTAGCTTCCAGGAAAATTACTCAATTTTGTAAGTAATTTTCAGTTTTTTTCTTAGGGATATTTTTCAACTTTCACTTTAATTTTCTTCAGTTGCTTAGTTGTATATTTTGAGAAGGCAAATCCATTGGCACTTGGGGAGGCTTAGAACATAAATTAGTATTAGAAGTAAAGGGAACACACAGCTAAAAGTTTTACTTTAATCACAAATTCACAACTAGAGATATCATTTGCATATCTTAGAATGCTAAAGACCTGTTAAAATTTTTTTAACCAATCAGCAAAAATATGTGCCACAGATTTCTAATGTTCATAATTTAGAATTTATCACATAAATATAATATTAATATATACTTTATTTGCAAAATTATTATTCTTAAAACACTTCTTTCCAACACATTTACAATGTTCATGTGCTTTAAAGAAAAATACCACCCTCATTTAAAAATGTACTACTAACTTTAATGTGTGGTTATACCAGTGCCACCAAATTAGAAAAGAAAAAGAAACATACAGCTGTATTGGATATGTAGTTACTACTACAAATAATGACAACACATGTCTTATACAATGATCATATTATGCTTTTCTACCACTTCTCAGTCATTATCAGAACCATTTGGAGGTAAGAAAACCAATGCATCATTGAAAATATGCCCAAATGCCCTAAGACGGTATACCCCATACATCATCACATGCATCTGATTTGGAGTCAGTCCATTAAAAGTAACAGCCATATCTGAACAACAGCCTTCTACTACCTGGTTGGGGTGGTAAGTCATTGCCTCTTTAATAGAAAGCCCAACAGATTTGGTATTAAATACATCTTTTCCATCAGCATCTTCTGCATTTTCTGCAAACACTCCAGCATATTTCAGGCAAACTGCTAGCTGTTTATCTTCAGATATCTTCCAAATCATCCCCCCCTGTTCAGGGCACTTTTCAGGGATATTGAGAAGGCTGTTAAGTCTTTTCATTGATTCTATACTTAAGACAATTCCTCCTTCCATACCCACATATTCAAGGTCTCCAGATTTTATAGTGTGGCCTAGATAGAAAGGCTGTGATGGATCCTTTTTTAACAAAAAATACTTTAGGTTTTCAATGATAGCAAACGTAGTGGGGCGTGCAAGGAAGAACCAGTTGTATTGGTCTCTATACTTATCAAAGGCATATTTGTAAGCTTTTCTCATCATTAACCACATGTCATTTGTGTCCATATTAATTGACTCAAACACTTTAACATTTTCAGAACTGAAGAACTCTGCTTTGTCACAGTGTTTGGTCCAAGTCTCCTTTACTGCAGCCCAAAGACTCACATCTTTGGGTTTTACAAGGATAATACAGTATACTCGAAAGCTCTTACTGAGCTCCATGCGCTCATCCTCTGAAATTTTCAAGATATCTTCTTTGTTAGGAGCTTGTAGGTGATGATGCTCATGGTGGTGCATTCTATTTCCATGACCAATCCTAATATGTCCTAGCATAGTGATCAAAGCACAGAAAATGCTTCCAAGCATCACACCCTTCAAAAAGGAGCTGCTTTCAGAAAGCATTTTTCCTATAAAGAAGAAAAAGACTCTTAAAATACTTAATAGAAAAGGATTAGTCTATAAATTTGATTTGGTATTCCTTATATACTTACGTTTTGCTCTTAATTTTTTTTAAAGGTTCCCAAGCTTGAAATCAAGTTAGTTGCATATAGTACAAAAGACTCTCAAAATCTTTAGCTTCCAATGAAATCTGATTACTGTTTGGTATAAACTGGAACTTTGCAACAACTCCTCTATGGAGAATTTGTTTTGCACTTCATCTATGGGGATTTAATAAACCCTTGAAACCAGTGTTACAGAGGTTATCCATCCACCGTTCTCTTTAAAGAATTTCACATCACAAGCTTGCATTATTTAAATACCTCTAAAAATATAATGGATTTTTACACCAAAACCTTGGATTGAATAGATAAAACCACCTATAAATGGCAAATCACCAGTGGTATTGTGCTGACATTTCTGTTCTCAACATAGTGCTTTCTTTAACCAATGGCTGCTGTCCTTAAGTGTTTTGAGTAAATCTAAACCAAGTTTCTTGAGAATAACATCATATATGTTAATATTTACCCTTTTGTTCCTAAAACTAAATGGTTTCCAATACAGTGTCCCAACTACTGATGTAATAGAAGCCTGTAATAAAAAGTTGCATTTTTTGGATGAAAAAGGAATATTGATAGACATATCTGGGGCCTATTAATAAACATTTTTATTTCCTCAAAACGAATTTTCTTCTTCTTTGGGGAAGTAAAAACGGAAAACTTTACACTTTTATTTCAATTAGAAATTAAGAGCTGGGTGCAGTGGCTCATGGCTGTTATCTCAGCACTTTGGGAGGCTGAGGTGGGTGGATCCCTTGAGCTCAGGAGTTCGAGACCAGCCTGGGCAACATGGTGAAACCCTCTCTCTACCCAAAATACAAAAAGTTAGCCAGACGTGGTGGTGGGTGCCTGTAATCCCAGTTACTCAGGAAGCTGAGGCACAAGAATCTCTTGAACCCATTGGGAGGTGGAGGCTGCAGTGAGCTGTGATCTCACCATGGCACTGTAGCCAGGGCATCAGAGTGAGACTCTGTCTCAGAAAAAATAAATAAAGAAATTAAAAGCTGATATTAAATACACTTGTTCAAAAAAATTGTATGTTAACCATTTATTCTAGTAAAGGCTGAATTTTCCAGTCTTCCCTCCATCTTCAGAAAAAAGCGATCTATTGAGCTACTTAGATTTCCCCGTTTTCTCTTATGGTTGAAAGGAGCCTTAGAAAGCTACCCAATGTCAGTCACTTCTCTCATTTTACAGAGAGAAAATGGAAGTCCACAGAGGTTAAGTAACTGATTCAGTCACACAGTCAGACAGTGGTAGAAGTGGATTAGAAACCACATTTCTCGAATCAGTTTAATGTTTTTTTCCATTACAGAATAATTGCCATAGTGCTTCTACCACATTAGAGTTTGATAAATGGGTTACTGAATATCCTTGTTTTCATACAAATGGAAAAAAAGTGGGATCTGTTGACCATAACTGATGTTTTGCACCCAACAGCACCATATTGTTACAAGGAAACCACTCCTATGGTTTTCTTCTAGAGGAAATGGAATTTTGACTTTACCAGAAAGACAAGGTGTGGAATAGTTTGGCAGATGTAATTTCTGAGTGGTGGGTGGCGCAAGAGGCAGGAAGGCTTTCCTCTGTCACTCACAGAACTTGGTCAATAAACACAGTTCTAAGAAGAGAAGTGACAGAAAACAAGCGCTGCATAATATTAGAATTGTCGGCTGTGCACGGTGGCTCACGCCTGTAATCCCAACACTTTGGGAGGCCGAGGCGGGTGGATCACCTGAGGTCAGGAGTTCAAGACCAGCCTGGCTAACATGGTGAGACCCTGTCTCTACTAAAAATACAAAAATTAGCCGGGCATGGTGACATATGACTGTAATCCCAGCTACTCAGGAGGCTGAATCGCTTGAACCCGGGAGATGGAGGTTGCAGTAAGCCAAGATCGCGCCACAGCACTCCAGCCTGGGCGACAAGAGCGAGACTCTGTCTCAAAACAAACAAACAAACAAAAAATTTGTCAGGTGCACCCTAAAATTAATTTATATAGGATTTTTGTATTTCATGTCACGCAGTTTTCATTATTTCTGGCCAATACATAATTCACACAGTTTCTTTGCTCAATTATGCTATATGTGTCAGAATTCTTCCTGATGGCGATCCTACTTCTGGCTGCAAAAATAGGGATCAAAACTCAGTAAGTCTACACATTTTAAACACAATAATTTGCAAAAATTATTCTAAGGAGATTTTTTTCCCCATCAGAGAGGCAAAAAATGTAACAGTAGGGATGCATATGATAGGATACTTTGTGCAGAAGGAAATTTAAAACTGCACACGAGCACAAATGAAACTGAAACTACCCCAATGGTTTTTAGAGGAACCTTTTTGGGTGAAGGTAGTTGAGGTGAAGTACGGAAAAGGAAGACGAAATAGGGAAGAAAAGTGAGAGGGAGGACATGGTAACCTAGAGATCCCTCTGAAGGACCAAGAGAGCGCCCCCAGGAAGAAGGCTCTCGGTCTCCTGTGCTGACAAGCCTCCCGCTGCACCTGCCCAAGCATCCCGCGTGGAGCATGCTGGGAGAGGGCTGGGGCCCAGGCCTCCCCCAAGAGACGGAGGGGAGTCAGGGTGCGCTCGGGGTGGGGGTCAAGGCCCCGCCACTCACCCGCGTCTAGAACGGCTTAGGGGCAGGAAAGCGCAGCCGCGCACGGGTTTCCTCTCACGTTGGCGCGCCACTCGGTTGCGCTCCTGGCCGGGATGTTCTAGCCGCAGGCGGTGTCCTCTCGTTGGTCTCGCTTAAGGTGGGGAGGGCCAGGAAACGGGCGCCGCGAAGGCGGGGCAAAGGAGCCCGCGGCTGGGCGGAGCCGTCCGTTTGCCCGCCCGCTCAGGCGTCGGAAGGGCCGGCGCGCCCGCCCCCTACCGAGTTCAGAGACGTGCTTTAGGCCTACGTGACCCGTACGCTCCCCTTTACCCAACGGGACGCCCAGAGAGGAGGCCGTGCGTACGACTCGCTGACACCTCCTACTTCACCTTCCTGGCATGGAAATTGCGAGAGCGAGAGATTCTTGCTCCCAGTGTCGCTTGTTATCAGACCTCTTGATGGTTTCTCTGATGTACCCCTGCGTCCTTGAACCCTCATATTGCCCACTCCCCTAGTACACCTGGGCTGAGACCAAAACGCAGGCCACTGAAATAGTCGTGCAATTATGGCATCAAGGGTTTCTTATGATTACTGGAATGAGATCTGAAGCCCCACTGCCTGGAATCCAATCCTGTCTTCACCACACCTTTTGATATTCTGGGAAAGTTACTTCACCTCGCTGTGCCTCAGTTCCCTCATTTGTCAAGTACAGAAAATGTCACAGTAGTGCCTATTTCATAGAAAATTAGATGAGATAGTGCATATGACTCCGTTAGCAAAATTTCAGGCCTAGAATAAGCGTTTACTAAAAAGTACTGGCTGTTAGTATTCACCCCAGTATTTCTAGTATTTAACCACAGTGCCAGCACGCAGTGGTCAGTAAATATTAGTGGAATTAATGAATAGTAGAACTACAGCTGAGGAACCAGGCCTAAAAAGGATAAGGAAATTTCAAAAGGCCACACAGCAAGTTAATGGCAGAGGTGTGACTGGAATCCAGGTCTCTCTCTTTTTTTTTTTGGGACGGAGTTTCGCTCTTGTTGCCCGGGTTGGAGTGCAATGGCGCGATCTTGGCTCAGTGCAACCTCTGCCTCCCGGGTTCAAGCGATTCTTCTACCTCAGCCTCCTTAGTAGCTGGGATTACAGGAGCCCGCCACCACGCCCGGCTAATTTTTGTATTATTAGTAGAGACAGGGTTGGCCAGGCTGGTCTTGAATTTCTGACCTCAGGTGATCCACCCGCCTCGGCCTCCCAAAGTGCTGGGATTACAGGCGTGAGCCACTACACCTGGCCCTCAGGTCTTCTAATTAGGAGTGCAGAGCTCTCTTTCCACAAAATATTTGATGTGATGTGTCTTTTTTTTTTTTTTTTTTTTTTTTGACCGAGTTTCTTCGCTCTTTTTGCCCAGGCTGGAGTGCAATGGCGGGATCCCGGTTCACTGCAGCCTCCGTCTCCCGGTTTCAAGTGAGTCTCCTGCCTCAGCCTCCCGAGTGGCTAGGATTACAGGCATGCGCCACTATGTCCGGTTAATTTTTTTTGTTTTTAGTAGAGACGGGGTTTCGCCATGTTGGCCAGGCTGGTCTCGAACTCCTGACCTCAGGTGTTCCACCTGCCTCGGCTTTCCACAGTGCTGGGATTACAGGTGTGAGCCACTGATCTGTCTTTTAAAATTCATTTTTGGCCAGGTGCAGTGGTTCACGCTTATAATCCCAACACTTTGGGAGGCCGAGACGGGTGGATCACCTGAGGTCAGGAGATCGAGACCAGCCTGGCCAACCCCGTCTGTACTAATAATACAAAAATTAGTTGTGCTTGGTGGCGCACGCTTGTAATCCCAGCTACTCCGGAGGCTGAGGCAGGAGACTTGCTTGAAACCAGGAGGCGGAGATTGCAGTGAGCTGAGATCGTGCCACTGCACTCCAGCCTGGGTGACAGAATGAGACTCCGTCATAAAAAAAAAAAAAAAAAAAAAAAAAAAAATTGACACAAGATGCTCTGAAACAGAATAAACCATGGGATTTTCAACATCAAAAGCGCTGTTAATGAGAAATTTTCTAAGAACCCAGTTCTTTGCTTGACAAATAACTTAAATATACTTAGCATTTTAAATAAAGTTAGTGAGATGATTGACTTATGATTTTTTTTTTTTTTTTTTTGAGACAGAGTCTCACTCTGTCACCCAGGCTGGAGTGCAGTGGTGTGATCTTGGCTCACTGCAACCTCCATCTCCCAGGTTCAAGCAATTCTCCTGTCTCAGCCTCCCAAGCAGCTGGGACTACAGGCGCATGCCACCCCACCTAGCTAATTTTTGTATTTTTAGTAGAAACATGGTTTCACCACATTGGTCAGGCTGGTCTAGAACTCTCATCCTCAGGTGATCCACCCGCCTCGGCCTCCCAAAGTGCTGAGATTACAGGCATGAGCCACCACGCCCAGCCGGTAATGGCATTTTTTTAAACAACGTTCCATATCTCAGCCCTAATTTAAAAAGTATGTGCAATTAGTATCTATTAAAATTAAGATGTTCATACTTTTTGGCCTAGCAAACCCATTCTAGTAATCTGTCCCACAGAAATAGGGGCAAATGCATTATTTTGTTGTTGTTGTTGTTTTGTTTTTGTTTAGAGACAGGGTCTTACTCTGACACCCAGGCTGGAGTGTAGTGGTGTAATCATGGCTCACTACAGCCTCCAATTCCTAGGCAGGTAAACCACATGTCTTGGGGGTTTGGCATGCAAATTATTTTGTCACCCAGGTAATAAGCATAGTTCCCAATAGTCAGTTTTTTTTTTTTTTTTTTTTGAGACGGAGTCTCGCTCTGTGGCCCAGGCTGGAGTACAGTGGCCGGATCTCAGCTCACTGCAAGCTCCGCCTCCCGGGTTCCCGCCATTCTCCTGCCTCAGCCTCCTGAGTAGCTGGGACTACAGGCGCCCGCCACCGCGCCCGGCTAATTTTTTGTGTTTTTAGTAGAGACGGGGTTTCACCGTGTCAGCCAGGATGGTCTCGATCTCCTGACCTCGTGATCCGCCCGTCTCGGCCTCCCAAAGTGCTGGGATTACAGGCTTGAGCCACCGTGCCCGGCCCCAATAGTCAGTTTTTAAATCTTCTGCTTCTCCCACCCTCCACCCTCAAGTAATCTCTGGTGTCTGTTGTTCCCCTTTTTGTGTCACATGTTCTCGTTTAACTCTCACTTATAAATGAGAATATGCGGCCAGGTGTGGTGTCTCACGCCTGTAATCCCTGCACTTTGAGAGGTCAAAGCAGGCGGATCACCTGAGGTCAAGAGTTCGAAACCAGCCTGACCAACATGGTGATACCCCGTCTCTACTAAAAATATAAAATTAGCCGGGCGTGGTGGCACATGCCTGTAATCACAGCTACTCAGGAGGCTGAAGCAGGAGAACTGCTTGAACCTGGGAGGCAGAGGTTGCAGTGAGCCAAGATTACACTGTTGCATTCCAGCCTGGGCAACAAGAGCGAAACTCTGTCTCAAAATAAATAAATAAATAAATAAATAAAAATAAAAATAATAAAAGAAAAGGCACGGCACGGTGGCTCACGCCTGTAATCCCAGCACTTTGGGAGGCCAAGACGGGGGTTTGCTTGAGGTCAGGAGTTTGAGACCAACCTGGCCAACATGGTGAAACCCCATCTCTACTGAAAATACAAAAAATTAGCTGGGCATGGTGGCGCACAGCTGTAGTCCCAGCTACTCGGGAGGCTGAGGCAGGAGAATTGCTTGAGCCTGGGAGACAGAGGTTGCAGTAAGCCGAGATCACACCACTGCACTCCAGCCTGAGTGACACAGCAAGACTCTGTCTCAAAAAATAAAAAAGAGAACATGTGGTATTTTTTATTCTCTGTTCCTATGTTAGTTTGCTTATAAGAATGACTTCACCTCCATCCATGTTGCTGCAAAGGACATAGTCTCATTCTTTTTTATGGCTGTGTAGTATTCCATGGTATACACGTGCCATATTTTTTTCAGCCAGTCTACCATTGATGGGCATTTAGGTTGATACTATGTTTTTGGTGTTGTGAATAGTGCTGCAATAAACATATGCATGCATATGTCTTTATGGTAGAATGAATTATATTCCTTTGGGTATATTCTCAATAATGGGATGGCTATGTCAAATGGTAATTCTGTTTTAAGCGCTTTGTGGAATCACCACACTGCTTTCCACAATTGCTCAACTAATTTACATTTTCACCAGAAGCGTATAAATGTTACCTTTTCTCCACAACCTTACCAGCATCCGTTATTTTTGACTTTTTAATAATAGCCATTCTGACTGGCACAAGATGGTATCCCATTGTGGTTGTGATGTACATTTCTGTAAAGATTAGTGATGAGCATTTTTTCATGTATTTGTTGGCCACATGTATGTCTTCTTTTGAGAAGTGCCTGTTCATGTCTGTATTAGTCTGTTTTCACACTGCTATAAAGATACTACCTGAGACTGGGTAATTTATAAAGTAAACAGGTTTAATTGACTCACACTCCTTTTATTTATTTATTTATTTATTTATTTATTTATTTAAGACAGTCTCACTCTGTTGCCCAGGCTGCAGTGCAGTGGCACAATCTCGGCTCACTGCAACATCTGCCTGCCAGGTTCAAGCAATTCTCCCACCTCAGCCTCCTGAGTAGCTTGGACTACAGGCACATGCCACCACACCCAGTTAAGTTTTGTATTTTTAGTAGAGACGGGGTTTCACCATGTTGACCCGGATGGTCTCGAACCCCTGACCTCAGGTGATCCACCCACCTTGGCCTCCCAAAGTGCTGGGGTTACAGGCTTGAACCACCGCTCCTGAACTGACTCACAGTTCTGCATGGCTAGAGAAGCCTCAGGAAACGTACAATCATAGTGGAAGGTGAAGGGGAAGCAAGGCATGTCTCCTCATGGTGGCAGGAGAGAGAGAGAGAGAGAGAGAGAGAGAGAGGAAGAGTGAGGAAGTGCTACATTTAAAACAATCAGCTCTAGTGAGAACTCCCTCACTATCATGAGAACAGCATGGGGGAAACCATCCTCATGATCCATTCACCTTTCACCAGGTCTCTCCGTGGACATGTGGGGATTACAATTCAAGATGAGATTTAGGTGGAGACACAAAGCCAAACCATATCACTGTCCTTTGCCCACTTTTTAATGGTGTTGGTTTTTGCTTGTACATTCATTTAAGTTCCTTATAGATTCTGGATATTAGACCTTTGTTGGATACATAGTTTGCAAATA